CCCAGGCTGTAACTTTATTATTGATAGGCTTTAACTTTCAGCTATCAAAATGAATTTTATATCCTTCAGTGCAAAGGTATATTTTCCTGGGTGTTCTCTAAACTGTAAATCAATCCTCCTCTTAGAGACTGTAAATTCCTTCAGCTCTGACTTTTCTCAAAATTCCACTACAATGTTCTCTCTCCAAAACATTAACAAAATCCTTCAGACCTGTGTATTTCCAGGACTATCTTGCTTTGTCAAAAAGCCTTTCTAGTTTATTTTCTCCATATTTCTTACTACTTCTTTATGCATACATGTCTCCCCCTCAAGTTGTATTCACTCACCTATTTCTCTTATGGTATCACTGACTGGGTAAATCTCATTTATCTTGGAGACAGACACTTAGGCCAATAACTGTCCTTTTCAGTTATGGCACCCAGGAAAAGGCTTTCCATCACTTCCATGGACTGTCAGGTACAGGAGCACACTGGTCTCCTTAGTCTCTATTTCAATGGCCTCCTCTACTGACAATATGAATGTGATGCTGATTCTGTTTGTATCTGACCTTCAGGGACATCTGCCTGGAGATGTAATACATGCATGTAGCTACTTTTGGGAAAGTTCTTAGAAGTCATCTGGGTGCTGAGGTCACCATTTTGTTTTTGTTTTTTTCCCACAGTATCCAATGACTGGCTGAACAGTTTCCTGGTTCAGCCTGAGTTCCCTTTCTTTCTCAGAGTTCTCCATGTTTACACACATTGGAGATCTCTATCCTGGCAGTCAAATTTACTGGACCACGTCTTCCTAGACCCAACTGCAGAGCTGAAATGATGGGTTTCCATGAGGCACTATGTTCCCATAGGAAGGAGGTGCATACAGAGTGCTAAGGAGGAATTTGGAACCCAATGTCTTTCTACTCACACTCATTTACTAGATAGTTGTTTAAACTGGCATTTTACATACAGTTTCTGCCTTGTAATATGAAGTTGGACTACAGGACATCAGTGAATTCTTCTAGCTTTGAAACTCTTTTGCACTACTAATCATAGTATTTATAGTGAGCTGAGTGACATGTGCAGTGGTGTGAGTGTGGGGAGAAATTGTCTCACATTGCTGAAACACAGGCCATTTTCACATTCCCATACAATCTATCATGTCTGCCATGACTGGGCCTCAGGAAACTTCAGAGGTAGGAGGTAAGTTCCCATTTGGTTTCCATCTGTCTTGTAACACAAATGGATTAATGGCAAACCAAGGAGGGACTACTCATAGTCAAATAAAATAAAATGGAACCTGACTAAATGTAAAGACCATTTCATGAGATGATGAGGTGGTACACTGAATGGCTGAGACGCCGATAAGCAGGCTGCTCCTTTCTGAGGCTTTGTTTCTTGTATCTGTTTCTCTGACATCACACACACACACACACACACACACACACACATCTTGCAACTTGGAGAACCTGCGAATGGCAGATAATTTATTAATATGCATATCAAAACCCACGTGCACAATCTAAGACTGATATGTTGGTTTGGGTTTGGTTTTCAGGTTTTTTGAGACAGCATCTTCCCAGCTGGCCTAGAACTCACTGTGTAGACCAGTCTGGTCTCAATCTCACAGAGATCCACCTGCCTCTGCCTCCCAAATGCTGGTATTAAAGGTATGTATTATCTTGCCTGGCTGGGGCTGATGTTCTTCATGGAACAATTTTTCTAAGATAGAACAATCTTTCTTACCTAAGAAAAGGTAAGTTAAACTTTCATACAAGTCATTTTCACAGCAGGCTGAATTTTGAGCTAAATTTATGCCCCAGCCTTTAAAGATTCCTCACACATTCTTTGTGATTTCTGGAGATCTAATAAATGAAAAAACACCTTCTGATTTACATACAATTAGAATTCATGTTTATGTATGCTTTCATTCCATGGACAATTATAAGGAAAATTACTATTAAAATTATCTTTTTAATAACTAGTTCATTATAAATGCCATGGAGAATGTTCACCACCATCTACTGTCTTTATGCTTGATTTTTGTTGTAAAACCTGTTAGTCACTTGCCAATGAAGTATCAATTTTCAAGTTTCTAAACTTTTCAGAGGATTCTAACATCACTCTGTGATGCTTTGTTTTGTCCTTTTGTATGCTTTCATTTTGTAATAATTTACTAACTCTTATTACCACACATCTTGAGGCTAAGCAGAGCTCCAGAGATCATCCCATGGACATGCCCATAGGTTGCTGCTGTGCCCAGGAAACTAAGTTTGCCTGCCTTCCACACCTAAAGCCCTGTGTATCTCCTCAGCTCTGACACTAGCCACATCCTCTTATTGAATGCCACTTACAAAACACAAGTTAAAGACAAAAATGTTAACAGAACACAAGTCAAAGACAAAAGTGTTAACAGTTTGAAGATAGCAGTAGTAAACAATAGAACTGGGCACCAGACATTGCTGAGTGCAAATTTCCATGGGGCTCCACAGGCCACGGGCCCATTTTTCCTCATCTCAATTCTCAAGGTATCAGTCCCTCCTCTATATTTCATACTGACATTAATGAAAGAAAAAGTTCAGATGACCTATATCATAAGGGGGGTTATTTGTACAGAAAAGAATAAAAATGAACATTTTGCCAGTGATGTAAATAGACATATTGTCCAGGTTTATAAACAGGTAAACTTGAATTCTGGAATGTTCTACTAAGTCACTATATATTCTTGAGGGTATTAGTATATGGAAAATGATGTTTTATCAGTATTTAGAACACATCTGTAATGTGTTAGAGTGCCTGACACTCAATAACAGGAAGTGATTTTTCATGATATGTTATGGATTCCAAGAATTAAAACTGAATATAAACTGCACTGTGTGTGCAACAAGTGCTTTTGTGTTTCCATTCCACATAACTCTAGGCTTTTGCACTCTACGAAAATCCCATCTGTCGTTACCATGAGCACTGAGATGTCTCTTTTCTCTGTGCTGGCCATCATGTTTTTCAAGCCTTCTTCATCCCAGTAATTTATATGCCTTGCCAGGGAATGTGTTTTAACAGTATTTGGGACTCCACCATGTTTATCAGTTATTCTAATGGTCCATCTATGAATGTTTTCCTTGCAAAGTAATTCCAGAAAAGAAAAACGTAAAAACAAAGTGAGAAGAAAGCTCATAAATGTCTAATGTTAGAAGAGATGAAGGTGATACAGCATGAATCAGGAAATCCACAGTTGTGCAAACGTCGCTGCAGGACCTCCCATGGCTGGAACTCTGGTGTAGGCAGAGCTGTGGTTTAGGGCCAGGCTGTGGGCTGGCTGGGAGCACTGTGCCTCCCCTGCACAGAGGTAGGTGCCTGAATCTTCCAGTTGGGAGTCCCTGATGTGCAAGGTCACACAGCACTCCTTTGAATTTAATGTTGACTTTAACCTCCCGTTCTCCTTTGTTCCTGGAGCCATGTAAAACAGAGTGATGAGGCTGCCCCTAAGATTCTGCCGGAACCAGTACACACTCCTCACGGTGGGAGAAAAATTGCATCTCAGAGTGGATCCAGTTCCCACCTGGAGACTCAGATCTGGACTCTGCTCCACCTGCATCCCTCTCACCCCTGTTTAGGAAGAGGAAAACAAAACACAATCATGAGATGTTTGCAACCATATCTGTCAAATCTATATCCCAGAAGACACCCATGAGGATGAAGGGCCACGAGGAGCTTTGCAGTCAGCTCTCTGCCATTAAGGCACTGACTGCTCTGGAGCACCCCTAGTAGCATCTGGGGTGACCACAACTCACAGCAAACATGCACCCACAGAAGCCCCAGCAGACCTCCCAGTCTTCTCTCCATGGCTCCTGTCCAGTTGCTGTGGTGGGGTCTCTCCAGATCTGGAGGGTGTCAAGTTCTGAGCCCAGACAAACTTCTGTTTACAGACAACACTCCCTCTGAATCACTGAGCTCTGTCATTAGTCTTAACAGGAAACTCCACCTATGAAGACCTGGTGGGCTGTCACAGTAACTGCTCCTGTACTGTGGATGACAGCAGTGCAGGGAGCTAGAAGGCTGAGTTTTCTAATGTATGAGAATTTAAAGGGTTTTTTCTTTCCATCCCTTGTAACAGTTCATAGTAAAGGAGTGTGGGAAAATGTGTGAGGAAGGGGCATACACAGTACTTTAGGGAAAACCTGATGATTCCACGGGATTAAGCAGTGTTTAAGTAGAACTGAAGAATCTAGGAAGATATAACCCCATTTGCTAAATTGCACAATTTAACAGATAATTTGAAAAGTCACCATGCAATGTGTTCTAAGGAGGAGCAAGAATTTCTTGAAATTAAATCACCCTCTACATAGAAAATGTTATCAAGAAGAATTTTACTGGCTCAAAGAAAAATGGCATGCACACGTGGTGTCCACTATGATTTATTTCCAGCTCTCCCCTTCTGTCCAGCCCTTGTCCCTGGACTCTTCAGGCAAATGCAGCTGACTCTGATCAGGCATACACAGCTGGTCCAGTTCAATGTGCTCCTCTCTCTACTTCTCCTCTGTTTTTGTGTCTTATGTTCCCACTTTTCTTGTCACTTCTAGTTTAGAGAAAAAGAAGTACACACACACACACACACACACACACACGAAGACTGGATGTCAGGGGTATTGGAATGATTTCTAGATCTGTGGATTTGTGAGATTTTAGTCCAAAAATTTAAGAAACTTCCAAGTCGTAGAAATGTTTTCTCCTGAGTCCCCATCCTCACAAAACACCTTGAAATTCTGTTTTCCTTCCCTGTGCTCAGAGAATTATTCTTAAGCAGATTTATAGACACACAGGACCCAGTGAATAGAAATTCAGGCTTTATCATTCTGCAGTTTTAAATAGCATGACAGAAAGCCAAATATCTGGGTGCACTTTGCACCAACACCACCCAGCCTTGCTTTCTGAGTTGACTATCATGTGTTTCCTCTCTGTTCTTCAAACCTCTGGGAACTTCAGAAAGTCATTTCTAGGCAGCCTGCAGTGCCCCCTAGTGGATTGACACCACTACCTAACTCCAGAGTGCAGACAAAGCCAGCTCCATTCACTGATGAAGGAAACGCAGATGGGCAAGAAGACATTGTCTATATAGAATGGGGGTTAAAGAGGAGCCACTTTGAAGATGGTTTTACATGGAATCGAAAGTTAAAGTAAGTTGGCAATTCTTGTGCTATTTATTTAATTTCTCTCATTTAGTTAAAAATTAGTCCAAAATATTCGTTCACGTTATGTTGCAAGTAATAAGAAGAAGAAAAACAGAGGATGAGACATGAGTTTTTAATACAGAGAAGACAAAAATATGCATATCTTAAGTATTGCCTAAAAACAAGACCCCGAGAACAGCACAAACTGAAAGAGGCTGATCCCAGAGGGAGAAATACTGACGCATGGGGTTGTTGGACAAAATCTTATCAAGAAAGTGGACACAGGCTTGTGAGATGACTCAGTGTGTAAAGGTCCTCATTGCTCAAACCTGCTGACCAGAGAGTTCAATCCCTGGATCCCACAATGGACTTCTGAAAGTTGTCCTCTGACCTCCAAATGCCTGGTCTTACCCATGTGCATACACACAGGCAAGATAGACAGAAAGACACAGACACACCACACACACACACACACAGAGCACATTTTTTAAAAACTTTTTAAAACATTTACACACTTTTTAAATGGAGCTTTTAGCTACTCTAACATTCCCCCCTCTGAAGAAGTAACCCTAAAATCTTTTTGGGATTAGATTAGAGCTCCCAAATACTTCTGGCATTTTTGGCCTTTAGAACAGAGTATGTTGCTAAGAGACCCAAGAACATTTTGATTTTTAGCCAAGAAACTGGCTACTTTTCTTTGGGGTCTTTTTACCCTACCTAACCAATTCCTACCTCCTAAGTTGTTCAAGAAAAAGTGATGGGGAGATATGGGAGAGTTGGAGGGGAGGGAGTGGGCATGGATATGCATGTATAAAATTCTCAATTGAAAAATAAAAAGAGGGTCTGGAGAGATGGCTCGGTGGTTAAGAGCACTGACTGCTCTTGCAGAGGACGCAGGTTTGGTTTCCAGCACCCACATGGTGGCTAAAAAAAATTCCCTAATTCCAGTTCCAGGGGATCTGACTCCCTCTCTGACCCCTGGAAGCACTGCACACATATGGTGTGCTTACACGCATGAAGGCAAAACATACATACTCATAAGAAATAAATTTAAAAAGGTATAGAATCCTACACCTTGACTAAAACGCCCACAGCCCAGTGCTGTTTCACCCAGAATGCCCCATTCACTGTTCACCATCTCTCTGCTCATCTGGTCAGCACCACTGGGGCCTGCTGCTGCCTTTACTGTATTAGGGACACATCCCAGTTGTGGTGGTTTGAATGAAAATGTCCCCAATAGGCTCCAAGTATTTAGATATTTTGTCCCCAGATGGTGGCGCTGTTTTAGGAGGTCTTAAAAAGTGTGGCTATCCTGGAGGAGGCACATCACTGGGGGTGGGCTTAGAGAGTTCTTAAGCCTTGCCAGAGCTCCAGCTGCTCTCTTCATTCCTGACCTACTTATAGATCTCCAGTTTCTCTCTTGCTTCCTGTACCTGTGTGATGATGTAAGAGCTTAGCTTCTGCTGCTCCTTCTCCAGCCACCTCCAGCCACCATGCCTCCCTGCCATGACAGACTGTAATTCCCCTGGAACCATAAGCTCAAATTAACTCTTCCTTCTATAAATTGCTTGGGTTAGTGTTTCTGTCACAGCAACAGAAAAATGACTAATACATCAGTTTATATATATATGTTTCCCAAAACACAGGGTATAGAAATATGATATTTTAATATAATAATATATGCACATATATAATTTAAGGGTATTTAAATTTCCCCCATCCATCTTGGCAGGTCAACTGATTTTTGTCGTTATGCAGATCTTGTTAGACGATCACACTGTGGAGATTTCATTGGTGCAGCTTCCCTATCATGACTAGACAGCATTACTGAGCAGCTTGTCCCTTGGGCTCTTACATTCTTCCACAACCTTCCCTGAGCCTTGGGTGTAGAAGTTGCATATATATATGACCTAGAGCTGGGCAACTCACACTTACTTATTATCTGTGTTTGACCAGTTGTGGAACTTTGTAATAGGCTCCATCTTTTGCAAAAAGATGCTTTTTTGATGAGTGGCAAGAGGTACATTGTCTGCAATTTTAAGGATACTGGTGAGAACATATTATCTTGTGTTTTGCATTGTGGTCTAGGTATATGGATTTCTTTTGCTGACTGTTTGTCTGATATGAAATTCTACCTGACTTTCTTGGGTTGAAGTTTGGTTCTGTTCTTATTATTGACATAACTTGGTTACTTTCTGATCAGGTATGACTAGGTAGTTGGTCTGTGCTTCAGATTCAAACTTTTAGTATTTCATTGGAGGGATGGGGTGGCTCCAGGCAGGCTAGTGGGGAGCTGACCAGCAGCATGAATGGGCCTAGTCCCAAATGATGGTGACCATATGGGTGGTTTCTGACTAGCTAGAAAGGGTAGATGAGGTCCTAGAGCAATGCCAACAGCACTGGTCCCAAAGCAAGCAACAGAGACCAAGTGGGTGGGATCTGCCCAACTTTCCATGCTACACGGGGGCTCTCTGGTAAGGTAAAGGGGCCTAGGCCCAAGAGTTGGACCACTGAAATAAAGTAGGCTTCATTTTCATATTCTATCCTATGAAGCACTGCACAAAAAGTAATTTGGAGTCCTACCTGTGCTTATAAAAATCCTCAACATTCTAACATTCTGCCTTTTATACTTTTGTTTTTGAGTATTTATTTCCTAAGTAAAAGTTCTCCATTCTTGTAGAAATTCCCATGAAAATAAGATTGAAAATTCTGATTTTCTTCACTTTGTCAATGTGCTGGAAAGAATTCAAGTTTGCATTTGATGTATTGTGCATTCAATATTAAATAACAAATTAGTAAAATTTTCTTTATTCCCTTCCTAACAAGACTTTAGATATTTTAAGATTTGGTATTTGTAGCAAGTTTCCATTAAATCTTAGATTTGTTTGGAATACCTGTTGGAAAAAGACTGAAATTACATGTAATATATCTGCAGAGATTACAGGAATAATTTTCTTAAAAAATGTCTGTATCATGTATATATGACTTAGCAACTACAAATGATATGTTTGTACGATTATATGTGATAAACAAATATAATTGTGTTAATTCATTTTTAAGGTAGACTAAGTGATACTGAGTATGTGCTAGTTAAATTAGTCTCAATTGAAAGATAAAACTGATCTTGTCAAGAAGCGAACTTCAGGGTTCATCAGCTATCATTTGAGCAGGCCATGGCAGGAGAAACTGAAATTCAGTTATCCACAATTTGATCAATATTTGAAGTTTCAGTATCTATCAGGGGGATATCACACATGGAGATTCATTAGCAAGGACAGTGGTATTTTCAATAGCATAATAAAACAACACAGTCCTTTTAATGGTGGTATTTAAGATATGTGATGGTGTTTTAGTTGTAGTATTTTAAGGACATACCCTATCCCGAATGAATAGGATATAAAAGTCTAAGTTAGCCTGTATTTTGAACAACTGTATCATAGATCTAATCTCTAGAAGATTCCATGCCTAGCCAGGGTCAGACACAGCAGAATGGACAAAACTGTTGCATTTATATATTAGGACACTATTCAGCAGTAACAATAATGGGCGATGATGCACACATGAACATGAGTGAGGGGCTGGAGAGAAGGCTCAGCAGTTAGGAACACCAGCTGCCCTTGCAGAGGACCTGGGTTCAATTCCCAGCACCTAATTCATTGCTAACAACTACCAGTAACTCCAGTTCCAGGGGGTCTGACATCCTCTTTTGGCCTGTGTGCGTGGGTGCACTTACAGACATGGAGGCAAAACACTCATATACATAAAATAAAAACGAATAAATCTAAAGATGTTTTAAAAATAAAGTGAATTTCAAAACCATCTCAGTGAAAGGAATGGGAAACAAAAGAATGACTACATGTAATTTATGGGCTTAAAAGTCTACAGCAGGTAAACATAATCTGCAGTGATAGAAATAGGAAAATCTCAGGGGTGGAGAGATGGCTTAGTGGTTAAGAGCACTAACTGATCTTGGGGAGGACCCAGGTTCAATTCCCAGTGCTCACATGGTGGCTAACAACTATCCATAACTCCGGTTCCAGGGAATCTGATGCCTTCATCTGACCTCTGTGGATATTGCACGACATGGGTGTACTTATATGCATGCAAGCAATACACTCATACGTGTAAAATAAAAATAATAAATAAAATAAGTTTTAAAAATAGGAAAATCTCTTGCCTTCAGAAGATGAGCTGATTGGAAAGACATGCATGAAACTGCCTGGGGTGACAGAAGTATTACGTTTTTAGGCCATTTACAAATACCACTATCTTCTTATTTCATTTTTTTAAATTAACAGATTACCAGAGTTATAGGAAAGAAATGTTATTTGGTATTATAATCTTCAGATGCAGTCTTTGTGTCCTAAGTATTTTTGTATATGTGTGTATGTGTCGTGCTCATGTTTGTAAGGGGTGTACAAGTGTGTGTGGGAGTATACATGTATGTGTGTGTAAATGTAGATGCCAAAGGACAAACTGAGATGTCTTTCACCAAGCACCATCAACCTTGTGTGCATGTGCATGTGGGAGGGTGGTTGTGTTCAGAGGGGTACACATATATGTGCACACATGTATAGGGCAAAGGTCTACCTCCGATGTTATTTTTCAAGAGGTTCCCATCTTTGCTTTTTGGAGGCAGAATCTCTCACTAGGACCTAGAGCTCACCCATTGGGCTAGGGTGGCTGACCAGCAAGGTCCAAAGATCACCATGTCTCCTTCTCCCCAGCACTGGGAAGACAAGTGTGTGCCACAACATCCAGCTTGCTATGTGGGTGCCGGGTATGAAACACCAGTCCTCATGTCTGCATGCCAACACTTAACCGATGTAGCTATCTATATATGTAGCACCCCCCGCCCTTTTGAAACAGGGCTTTCACCAGTTTGGAGTTCTCCAAGTATCCTAGGTAGGCCGGATGACCAGTGAGCCCCAGGGATCCATTTCCTTCTCCCTCTCCAGTGCTGAGATTGTAGGCACATGCTGCTATCCCTGGCTTCCTACGTTCAA